AAGTAGAGTGTATGGAGGAACAAGACGTTGCGGAAGCCATTGAGAGATTAGAGAAGGCTGAGTTTCCACAGGACAGAATCGATGCTCTGGAACCCTTTTGCTTCATCTTTACTGTAATGAATGACATGCAAATGTTTCTTGAACATGTAGTCGATGTCATGAAATTAAAGGTAAACTGTCGAACTACACTAGAGCAAAGTGAATAATGTGCTAATGTGTTTTTATATATGTTGTATATTGTCTATTTCTACCTTGTATTTGTCTGTTTTGCACATTAACTGTGTGTAATAACTGTAAATTGACATTTACAATAAAAAGAAAAAAAATGCATCATCTTGATGTTTTACATCTACAAACTGTTCCCACAAAGTTAGGAGCATGAAATTGTCCAAAATGTCTTGAAAATAATTAAATATATAATAATAGTAAAAATAATTTCTTTCTTTCTCAAAACTGAGTTTTGATTTCTAAGTGATCAATTTATGTACAAGTGTTTTCCCACATGATTGGCTGTAGGTCATCAGTAAATTAATGTGGCATTTAAATGCCAGTGTTTCCCAAATGAAACACAAGAGCTGTTAGTTTTGAATGATGTGTGTAATGTAGAGAAATGTGTTTAGAGTTTTGCAAATAGTTTGTTTTTCAAATGCAAACTGAGTGCAAAGCATATAATGTCCTTGTATTTTTGCAGGCTTGGTCTAAAGATTGGGTACATGAGTGAATGGTTTCACTGAGTGAGCCTCAAATTCCACTTGTAGTGTTTTAGCAATTTGAAAAAAACTGTCAACAAAATGACAAATGACACCTTAACACGACCAAAATGAGCGTGTCTACGCGTTCAAAAGAAACACGTAAAAAATTGCCGCGGACAAACACTTCGTGTTGACGCGGTCAAATTTCACGCGTTTCGTTTAAAGACTATTACGATCGCGTTCCGTAGAGATCAGGCGTCGATTGCAAGTGACGTCACTTGCAGAGGAAGCGCTCGTGTCTGAGAGTGCAAGTGACGTCACTTGCAGAGGAAGCGCTCGTGTCTGAGCGTGCAAGTCCGAGAGTGCAAGTGACGTCACTTGTCTGCAGCCAGACGCTATTGTTCTTTAGGCCCAGCCAGTCATCATGCAGTTGACACAACATGCACGATTTCCCAATATCCATACTGTGCTGTGGGGACAGTAGTCTAGGTCGACAAACTGAGCACCAAAGGAGCTGATGACATTGTGACAGATGGAGGCATAGCAGGCAGGAGAGAGCCAGAGCAAGTCCAAACCCGTGTCCTGCGACCTCACAACCTGATTGTGGAATTCATGTGCTTCATCATGCAATGTGGGGTGGGCCGAGGGAGACACGGTGGGTCCTCCTTGAGTCGACAAAAATAAGTTAAGCGTGCCAGATCGTAAACACCATATAATATATCTGTTTATTGGAAGAATGTTTCTTCCCACCCCTCCCAAATGCACTGCAGTATAAAACAAGTCTTTACAAAACCAGACATTGAATGACCCTAAATTGCAATTTCAGGCAGCAAATCATGGGCAATGTTCAATGTTCATTATAGCATAGTGACATACTACTACATATACTTGGACTGTCAGTTATGGGTGCTTTAATACAAAATGACATTAAAAATGCAAAGTAACCCTCGCCCTACACACACACACACACACACACACACACACACACACACACAACTCCTGAATTAAAGATGCAAGAAATGATGTCATATGATATGACAATCATGTATTACACAACTGTTTGCAATGTTTATTGTTGCGTAATACATTTTTAAATAATAGGCAGTATTCAGTAATTGAATCATTTACTCAACCGATTCATTCAAAATCACTGATTCATTCAAGAAATACCACTACGGTGTGGGTCATATGTGCTCAACGTTTGGTTCTGTTTTGGCTTGGCTTCGTTTGCATCTGTTTTCGTTGGTTGAGCAAAAATGAACAAAGCGAAATTGTGTCAATTTGTAAGTTGTTTAATATTAACTCTTTGTTTATTGAACTGTTGTACCCTATAAAATAAATGTAAAACTTGCAATCTCTTGTTTGTTCGTGTGCTTGAATGTAAAATGTTCCAGCTCTAATTCTGCTCCCTGCATGTTTCCAGACAGTGAATCTGCTGATAATCGGTCTTTGCGACTGTAAATGCAAACGATCAGTTTTCATATGTTGACTGCTTTTGATCAAGATTAGCCAGTCTGTACATTGATATGTTTGAGCGATGTAATCATTATCCCTGTATTCTGCTGAGGTTTGTAACGGGTTCTGCTGAACACATTGCTGTCCTTGGCTCTGTTCTTGCAGTCCAGCTCTTCTCCTGTCATTCTCATGATCAATTGCGTTCTATCTGCGTCTCCCACCACTCATCAGTTGTTGTGTCCTTCCATCCAGCTGTCCCCTGCAGAGTCTATCCCTGTCCACTGGAATTTACTGGCCACCAAATCTCTGTTTATGACATTGTGCCCATTTGTCTTAAGTCTGAGATCCAGTTTTACTAGCTGCAAAATGAATGAGACTATAATAAAAATATGAATAATAATTAATTATGTGTGCACATGCGCCATGTGGATATCAAAGTGAGACCTGTGTTGTTTGGCACAGTTTGTTGGTATAGTACGGAGCTCAGGTACAGGTATATTTTAAAAAAGACATTAACACTCAAATTGGTGGCTGCCGATGCCTTAAAATAATAATAATAATAAAAAAAAAACATAAATTGCATCAATGTTCAAATTTAATTTGCTAAAACAAATTTTTTTCGCACACATAATACCACTATATACCCCAAAGCCCTGTCTGTTTTATTGGCTATTTCACCATTGAAACTCCTCTGCAACTCTCAGAACATCGACAAATGCAACACTGTTGATGTTGTGCATCTCTGATTTGTGTTGCTTAATTTCCAGGAAGCTGATGACGAGAAGCGACACTGATAACATTGGTTATCAATTAAACACAGAACACCAAATGCTTTCAAACTCATTGTCTACCATAAGAGCACCTCAAAGCCATCGACTGGGGGAGAAAGAGAGAAGGCAGAGGTAACTCTCATTGGACTGCATTAATGCATCATTGAGACGTGAAGTTCAGCCTGTTGGCTTTGGCCTGTAAGTGAAATCAATGGGGTGTACTGAACTAGAGAAGGACAGATCACAGTGTTTCGTCAGAGAGATGAGGAGGTGGTGTGAGGGAAAGTCAAGATGGCAAAGAACATGAACATGGAGAGAGATACAGGGTGCAAAGAGGGGACACGGAAAGGTGCTGATGTGTTCGACAGTCTAAATAGATGGACCTGAGGCTATTTATAAAACCATGGGTTCGCATAGGCCTCATAGTGAAGGCCAGAGCTGATAGAGCAGACCTGTAGGATTCATTGAGGGGGTCAGAGGAAGAATGAATGTATGAATAATCAAAACACTAAATATATGTATGAACATAAACAAGTGATAGTTGATTAAATGCATAGAAATGTAGTTTGCAGACAGAGCTGGGTAATAACTGATTATATGTAATCTCCTGGATTAGGTAATCAGATTCCAAAAATGTTATTCTTGTATAGATTATATTTTATTATATATATTTAATTTATTATTATCTGACGTAATGTAAGGTTTAATGCAGTTCATTGACAGCAAAAAATGGAACACATTATCTTTCTCTTTGTATTTTACACATCAATTTGGTACAAGATGTCCAAATCAATGTGATAAATGAGTTAGGACAAAAGTAATTTCAAAACTAGACCGATTACATTACCTAAAATGTGTAATGTATAGATGAACAGTTATAGATTACGTTTTATTTGTATTCAGTAGCGGACTAAGATTTGTAGGTAATTTACCCAGCACTGGTTGCAGATAGGACAGTGTGGACAGCTGGAAAGTTGGAGTCGCCCCGCACATATCTGAACTGATCCACTGTATCCCAGAACAACACTAACCTGACACCCGTTCCATTGTACCTGTTTGTTTAACATTTCACACTGCTCTTGTCCTATTTAGAGTGGAGTGGAGCTGTATATCAACCAGCCTGCCAGTATATCTGCTGTCTTCGGACCATCTGAAGTGTTATAATGCATGAGGTCAGTAGAGTTTATCAACAAATGCTGATGTACGCACATGACGATGTCAACTTATAAGGGCAGCTCGAGAAGTGCATATTGTATAACAGACTGAAGAGAGAAAATGAGTCACCAAAACTAACAAGTTTATTCAAACATGTACAAACAAGTATGTGCAGTATGGCTATGTACATCAAAACAACTGGTTTGAGGTAGAGAGAGAGTGTATTCCACCCACATCTGATGAGCAACTCCTCATCTACAGTACCTATTTACCTCTCTACACGTCGAGAGTTTACGTTGCACCTGAGAAGAAGTCTGTTAGGCATTGCGGTATTGCTGGTTTCAGTATTATTATCAGCTCAATAGGAGAAACATTGAATTATTGTGGCCAAACTAAGTATTTATAGACTAAGTCATACTTGTATGAAAAAAATGTCCACTTAACCACTTATGTGTACAGATAGTAATAATAAGCTGTTGCTTATGTAACTCGTTGTCCCAAACTACTTTTTTGTTGTTGTTGGTAAATCCTATAGTTATGTATTATTAATATTGTATCAAATAAATGCTGATATTCTATTTAACTTTCTATTAATCAACGAATCACAATGGATCATGGTTTCCACAAAAAATAATAAGCAGCACAACTATTGGTACAACATTGGTAATAAGAAATGTTTCTTGAGCAGTAAATCAGTATATTAGAATGATTTCTGAAGGATCATGTGACACTGAAGACTGGAGTAATGATGCTGAAAACTCTGCTTTGTCAACACAGGAAAAGATTACATTTTAAAATATATGAAAATGAAAAACAGTTCTTTTAAATTGTGATAATATTCCACAATATTGCTGTTCTTGCTATTTTTGATCAAATACATATAGCCTTAATTGGTGAATATTAGAGACTTTACATTACAAAATCAAACTTTTGAATTGTTGTGTGTGTGTGTGTGTGTGTGTGTATACATCAACTTGGCTGGATAATTTGTTCTCTAATGCAATGACATTAACTCTTTAATAAGTTATATTACTAATAATTTAATATTAATAATTAATTATTTATATTAAGTGTCCAAGGGCCACTGTACAAATACAAATCTTTAAAAAGTTCATTCATCTCATTGTCTATTTGTAAAAAACTAATATTCCAAAATATATATAAAAACTCATAAATATAAAGTACATCTGTTTATAATATTGCAGTCGTACATGAACTTTATCTCTCCCTCCTTCCCAATATCTCTTTTCCCCCTTCCACCCCTCCTCTCTCGTGGATCTTCTTGGCCTCCAAATGCGCCTCCTGCTCTCTCCTCAATTCCTCTTTCTCTGTCTTCAGTAACCAAGGTCCTCCAAGGTAAGACAGGATCTCTTCAGGCCCGGGGCGAAGCCAGGGCAGCGGGTTCAGCAGCTTTCTCAGAAGAATGAGGACGAATGAGCTTAGAGAGTCAAACTGACGGGCGACTTCTAATTCAGCCTCATTCTCCTCTCTCACAGTGTTTTGCTTTTCACAATGATTTCCCTCCCTCAGTTCATTCGGTCCTCTGGCCCTCTCTTCTCTCTCTTTGGTTCGGTTGAACCAGTCTCTGTACTTGCAGTAGGAAGGGTCATCAGACGTGGTCTCCTCCCAGGGGAAGCAGCTTGTCAGCAGGCAGTATATGAGGATGCCTAAAGACCAAGTATCCAAACTGGGCTCTACTGTCATCCAGGTGTCCTCTGCTCCCTCCTTCCCCTCACTGACTGTCTTAGCGCACTCCATCTCGGGCACACAGAAAGGAGAGTTGTACCACACAGCACGGACCTTGGTCCCCTTTGCCCGCGCCAGGCCAAAGTCGCCCAGTTTGACCCAGCGACAAAGGCGGTCACACAAGAAGATGTTCTCAGGCTTAATGTCCCGGTGCACAAAGCCAAGCGAATGCAAATGAGACACAGCACCACTCAACTGAGACATCACACTCTGAGCGCACTCCTCACTCACCACCTACAGAAAAAGAGAGAGAAGTTAAGAATAACACATGACAATTAACAATTTCTGGCATGTTATTTCCCTTTTTCATTAATACGGTTATTGCTATTTTTACATGTTCATTTATTATCATTATTATTGTTATTGTTTTGTCATTGTATTTATTTATCTCCATTTCTGGTACATTATTTTCCTTTTTACAATAATAATAATATTTATTTATTTATTTATATATCTATTATAATATATCTATTACGGCCATCTTGTTGTCCTTTTATTGTTTATTATCCAATATTGTTATTTGTATTCGTTCATTCATTCATTCATGGTACCTAATTTTCCTTTTAAAATATTAGTATTGATATTTGTATACATGTATGTATTTATTTATTTATTTAACCATTAAGGCCACCATCTTGCCCTTTTTCAATAATATTGCTATTTGAATATGCTCATTTATTTATTTATTCATTTATTAATTCATTATTTATTTGTTTGTTTATTTATTTATTCACTCATTCATTCAAGCATGGCCTTATTTTCGTTTATTTATCATTATTATTTTCTTTTCTTTTTTTATGCATTTGTTGTGTTTATTTATGCTTTGGCAATAATGTTTGTGCAACAGCCCTATTCCTATGAGTTATGAGATGACTGAAAGTCTGTGTTCTAATCTGCCCTTCAGCGGTACAGTAAGTACTCTCATTAAATTGCATTAATGTATCAAGGCTGATGATAGGACCAGTTGTTTTGGCAGGAGAGTGAGAACACGGGAGCATATCAGGGAGGGAACATGTACGTGCCTGAATAATCTAAGACACGTTGTTCCCTGAAGAGACGTCACTACGAAAAATGCTCTACTCATCACGATGCATCATCATAATTTCGAAAGGCCTTCGAAATCAGGACTGTCGTCAGAGGACCATCAATGTCCCAGGCCCTTTAATGAGGAGAAGCCACTATAAAGTTAATGGTCATCTAAATCTGTCTGAACACCCTGAGGATGGATGACAGAATTTGAAATTCTGCTGCATTTACTGACCTCTGACACAATGACATCATACAGGTCTCCATAAAGACCAGCCTCCTGGGCAAAAACATAGTGGGAAGGCGTGGAGTAGAAGATGCCAATAGCCCGCGTCAGAGAAGGGTGTGTGCAATAAGAGACAGACAGGTTGTATTCACGCAGGAAAGCTTGGAGAGTGGTAGAGCGACGGGGGAAGAACTTCAGAGCCATTGGGGTTCCTGGAAGTTCAAAGATTGCTAAAGTGAGAAGTGCTTCGCCTTCACCAAATACACCGTCTTATAGTTTAGAGCTCAGCCTGAACAAAACAGGTGACCACAAAACAACTGACCTCTCTTCTGATGCACCGCCAGCATCACCTTGCCATACGACCCCTCTCCCAGCTTTTTGATCAGCTTGAAGTGCTCTGATGTCACCAGTGATGTCATGGACTGAGCCGTGAGGTAGCACAGCTCATCCAGCTTTCTTGGCGCAGTCTGACAAGAAAACAACAGCAAAACTAACATTAAAGTTGCTGTGCAATTTTTTTAATGGAATATTGCAGTGTTTATTATAAATTTAGGTTTTTTTTAATACATCATCTTTAATAAATAAAACTCCCCCTCCCTCTTGCAATGACATCTCTTCTCTGATGATACTGTTTACTGGCATGAGGGCGGGACAACATGTCACTCACATGACATCACAGAAATAGCTAACCACAACAATCCAACCATCCAATCAATTCCTGATGAACAAAATCAGGTCCCGACCCACATTTTCACTTGTTCGAAAAGCCGTTTCACTTATATACGTCACAATAGGGAAGAAAAGACTATCGCAATTTCCATTTCATGCCGACTTTAATCATACAGTGCTGATTTTCAATCAGTATGCTGTGTGAAGCATCTACTTTTGTTTTATGTAGCTTGATCTTCGTAAAAATGAAAGTTATGAAAAGCTTTTGACTTTCTGGCTGATTCCGATAAGCTGATGATTATTTTCATGTTATGGCTGATAACCGATAAATGCCTAAGTATTAAAATCTGATACTGTTTTGTTCTAAATCTAAATAATGAATTAATAAAACTGAATTTAAACATCACAACTTTATAATATACATTATGAAAATAGCTATTCATTTTAACATTTTCTAAATATTACGTTTATCAGTGTTATTAAATTATTAGTGTTTGAATTCATTTAATATTTTTATTTGCATGAATTAATGTAATTTCTTATAAACACTTTTTAATCTATTCCCAACCAACAGACTGCCTTAGAAATTGTGATTAATACATTAAATCAATTGTATCAATACAATTGTATTAATGTTTTTTCTATACATATTATTAATGTTTTAAAAGAACTTCAAATAAGTGTTAGATGATGAAAAAAAATAATCTAAATGGAAAAACAGTGTAAATGAACGAGCAAAATTAAATATCCAATATCGACCGATACTTATCTCTTATATACAGATATAGTCCTGATATATATTTTGTCATAATGATAAGCTGACTATACATTATCCCGCCTTATTCTCGCTATTCACCACATAGTGGGCATGAAATTAAAGAAAAGAGACTATTGCCATTTATGAAATCGGTTGCTTTAGACAACGTCCAATTACACAAAAATGTCTGACTTCAGAAATGCTCAATTGAGATTCATGTATTCCAGAGAGCCATGTAATAATGATAGTTATATGACAGTTTAACTTCCCATCTGTCAGTACTTTCACCAGCCTTCACTTTTATGTCAGAGGATGGTCAAACAATACCATAAGCCCATTAACACCTCGGCAGCCCTGAAATAGCGGGCGCATGTTACTAATGCATTTTTACATAACACAAAGCAAGCAGATCATATTTACATTACACCCTATATATTTATCAGAGATATTTGTTGATTAAAGTTCCTAGAAGTGTGCGTCACACCAGTCCTGTGTGCGTCAGTGTTAATTCTTTGCTTTGTCAGTCTATGCAACCTTTACTAACACCACTCAGCTGAGGAGAAGGACCATGTAATTGTATGGTATTCTGTTACGACTTTATAAGTCTGTGATGTGGTCCTAGTGAAGCGATTGTATGAGTGCGTTGCTAGGCATTGAGAACAGAACCACCAGAGCAGCCTTTATCTTACTGATAGACGTCTCTGGCAGTGTGGCCTTTGATAAGGTGCCAGGAGTGGACGTGCATATGCTCCAGCTTGTTTCATTTTCCATGCAACCTTCATGTCTGTAATGTACAGTAACAATGTTGTTTTTAAAATCAAATTTCAGTAACACATTAGTTTAGGGTCCAATTCTCACTATTAAATAATTGCTTATTAGCATGCATATTACCAGGATATTGGGTGTTTATTATAAAGCACATATTAATGCCTTTTTCTGCATGACCACATTCTGCTTGCCGTATACCTAAACTTAACAACTACCTTACTAACTATTAATAAGCAGTAATTTATTGAGGCAGAAGTCGTAGTTAATAGTTAGCTAATAGTGAGAATTGGACCCTAAAGTAAAGTGTGACCTAAATTTCTTGCAATTAAGAGTGTTCTCTGAGCTTTGTCATAAGGGATTATGATCTTTTTAATGAGGTTACCCATTCATCCCCTTGTAAATCATTTTGGAAACATTATATTGCACTTAAAGTTCATTTAAAGTTTTATATCAATGACTTGACTTGAATCTGGCACAGATGAACAATTATGAATCATTTTTACTGTCAAACTCAACCATTCTTTCTCATTTAACTGCAGTGACCATTTTCACAGTGTGCCACTATTGCAATATTTATACAGTATCATTGTCTGTCTGTCTGTCTGTCTGTCTGTCTGTCTGTCTGTCTGTCTGTCTGTCTGTCTGTCTGTCTGTCTGTCTGTCTGTCTGTCTGTCTGTCTGTCTGTCTGTCTGTCTGTCTGTCTGTCTGTCTGTCTGTCTGTCTGTCTGTCTGTCTGTCTGTCTGTCTGTCTGTCTGTCTATCTATCTATCTATCTATCTATCTATCTATCTATCTATCTATCTATCTATCTATCTATCTATCTATCTATTTTCACAGAGTGACACTATTGCAAAATATGTGCAGTATGTGCTGGGGAGCACGGCTGGAGCGCCTTATATTACCCACAGGTGTATAGCACAGCTTTAATAGAGGATTTAGCAGGATAAAATCTGAAATGTTATTTAGTCATGATTTACTCCTGTAAAGCCGCCATTGACAAAACACTCATCAGTGAAATCATCAATATATATATATATATATATGTGTGTGTGTGTGTGTGTGTGTGTGTGTGCTATTGTTATATATTGTTATTTGGTTAAGTATTAATTTCTAATACTTGTTAATGTGTATTAATATGAAATGGAACAATTTCTATAGGATCGGTATAACTCACAGTCATTGTCCAACGCTGCAGTGTCTTTCAGGAAGTCTCTCTCACTGTTTCTTTCCCATCTGGACAGAACTGAGCTCTGAGTCAAACTGTCCGTTGCTCGTTATCAGCATGAGATCGACAAGTAGTTAATCAGATGTTGCGGTGCTGCAAGCCTGAGTGTCAGTTGCTACTGAGTATTTTTATATCTGTGCTCTCTCTCTCTCTTGATCCTTAATGAGTCTGCCGACCTCCTGCTTACCACCTTCCCCTGCTCTCTCTCCCTTGCTCTCCCTTTTCCCTCCAAAATTCCTCTGGTTGTTTCCATCCCAGATAGCCATGTACTACAGCAGTGAGGTATGCTGCCCCTTCCCAGAGTCTCACTCTTTCTCTCACTCTCTCTCTTTACTCCTGTACGTCAGTAGTGTCCCAATGTGTTCCACCTGTCAGTCAGTCTCTATTCAGTTCCTGCTGTTCCCTGAGGTCTCATATCTCCCTTCATCCTACTAGCACTATCACTTAGTAAATTCCTCCTACTGTGCATCTCCAGTCTGCAGCTCTGCTGGATTAAGACTGAAGAAGACAACAAGAGGTTAACAGTTTTGAGATCTAATTACTCCTAAGGCTCTCGACTAAGAAATTAACATTGTGAAATTCTCACAATTCATTGTGAAACTATTCTAAAGTAGTGATGTGTGAACAATTTACTTGATTTTTGAGAGGATGCAGTGAGATTAGTGCCACACACACTTTTATTAAAAGTATTTAGGATAAAACGAATTGTAATAAATCTAGGAGCAAAAAAAACACGTAACCTGCAATTTCAAATATGGATGAGCTATATTTGATTAGAATCACAGTACAAGACCAGGGGTCAGTGGACCCTCAGGGGTCCTTAAAGAAGATGTGCATGTCAAGTCAAGTCGCCTTTATTTATATACCAGCTGGAGTCGGTTTATGCTAGCCTGCAGAGCAACCACCCAGTAAACAATAATCTTGAGGTCAGGAATGGATGTATTAACTTTTCTGCATTTGACATTAAGAGCAAATGTCATAATTTAGCCATCAAGTGTTATTAAGGGCAGAGGTTTTTGGTCAAATTATTAAAACCTCTGTTTTTCTTAGAATTTATTTAGTAGAAAATTACAAGTTGTCCAATTTTTTATATCGACTATGCATTTCGTTAGTTTTGTGAATTGGTAAGTTTCGTCAGGCCGCAAAGAAATATAGAGCTGAGTATCATCAGCATAACAGTGAAAACTAACACCATATTTCATCTCCCAAAGCATGTACAGGGTGAAAAGCAACGGTCCTAGTACTGAGCCTTGTGCTACTCCATACTGAACTTGTGATTGATATGATACCTCTTCATTAACTTCTACAAATTAACCATGGAAATGCGATTCCACTAATGGATCAAGGATAGGATCAAGTTGTGTACTGTTCAAAAGTTTGGGGTGATGAGAAAGGCAGTGGAAAAAGGCTCTTTACACTGAGAAAAAATAGATTAGTTTATTAAAATGTTCTTTGAACTAAGAAAAAAAATAGTTCTTTAAGAACTTTTCACAGAAAGGTTCTTTAGGGGAATCAAAAATGGTTATTTTATGGCATTCTATTGCCCCTTTTTGGAACCTTTATTTCTAAGAGTGTACATGTGCAATGAATGCACATGGTGACTGACTGTTGTAAAACATGGAAAACAATTCAGTAACATGAGCGCCATTATATTATTGGCTTACGAGATGCATGTGGTTTACACTGACTATTATGCTTCCACCAGTGGTATAGAATTTGAGGTTGCCATCTCCATAAGTATAAGAGAATCTTTAATATTGCTTCATGCAACAGTTCCATAAACAAGCAATTCATGTCATGCGTTTCAGGCAAAAATGCTTTCCTAGCTCAAACAACTTTCCTGTAGCCCAAGCAGTAGAGTGTTGGCGCTTGCAACGCCAAGGTCATGGATTTGATTCCCAGGAAAAGCAAGAACTGATAAGAATGTAAATGTGTACCTTGAAATGCAATGTAAATTGCTTTGGATAAAAGAATCTGCCAAAATGCATAAAAATGTAAATGGGCCAAGCACTTAATGTATTTGTATACACATTGTTCCAAATAAAGGCAAACTGGACTGTATAAAACCCGTAAATGTAATGCATAAAGTAAAATATTTATGTGCTATTATACTGATTATAAAAAACACTGCTAAGATAAGAAAATAATGAAAAGAGAACAGTTATGTGTATATATACATTCCAATAAAATGTCCTCTCCTTTTGTTTTATTTATTTGTTTGTTTATTGGCTGGCATTCTTCAATGGTATTTAACCTGCACATTCTGCCATCTGTTTGAGTGACAAAACCAACAGCTGAAAGCTTGCAGAACTTAATACAACCATCCTCTCCATGACAAACCTCTGCTTAGTGCTGCCAATTCACATTCTCTCTTTCTGTAGGCCTATCTCATTCTCAGTTTACCCTGAACCTCAACTCTCTCTCTCTCTCTCTCTGCACTTCACAATTGACTCTTTATACATTTAAATTTCAGAAAGATTTCCCTTGATATCTCAAGTACAACATGGCTACTGTGTATTACTAAAGCAAACAATCCCTGTTATCACAACAGTGGCCGTTTCTGTTTCTCCAGCTGCCCTCTACATGCATGAAGCTGTTGCTAATACAGTCTGCTGTTGACTTCAAAGAGACTTCATCAATCCCTCTGGTCTCATCTCCATTCATAATCACTACACTTCTGTCACTCCCCTGCTGTTCAGGAATGTCATGGTATGTCTGAGACATCATAGAATTAGTTTAACATGTAACCCAATCGCCAAGATACGCAAATAGGTAGCAATGAATCATTTGGTTGTCTATTGCAATTACCTGCTGTATAGAATTTTGAGTTATTTTACAATGAATTCAAATATATTTCATTCTCTATCTTGTACAAATGTTTTCTTTACCTGTGGTGGCCTTGAGTTCTTCTGCATGAGTGTTTGTGGGTGTGTGCATTTGTCTGTGTTTATGTGTTGTTGTTTTTTTCCAAGGATATTTTAAGACTCTGTGTCTGTGTACTTAGTCCTTAAATGGTTTCTGCAAAATCAGCGTGAGTGACTTGGTATAAAAACTTCTATCACCAACTTGCCATTTTTATCTTAAAGAAACATGGCAGCATGCCGTATAAGACAAGCTCAAAGTAAATCTTTTGCATGTTACTTTAATGAAGGATACAAACTGTAAAGGTGAAAATAAAAGCAATTAAAGGAAATTATAAAAAAATGATTATTGGAATCCTGAGTTTCGAAAAACAGCAGTATGTTATTTTTATGTTCTTATATTCTAAGTGTTAGAAATTGCTCTATTTTTACAGTGAAAGAAATTTAAATGCAATACTACACATCATCATTTTAAGAAAAAGTCCCTAAAATTTTCTTGTTTAGACATGTGAAAGTAAGAATAATTCTTGCTTAGGTGCACTTTGCCATTTTTACATTTCTAGGCAATGTTCTGCAATAAAGAGCAACCAGTCAATCAGGAGACTTGAAAATGTTTGTATGAATATTTTATATATCCACACGACCAGTGGCGGATTTAGCAAATTGGGGGCCCAAGGCGAAGGTAGTATGGGGCCCCCCATCCGATCTTTAAAAGAGAACGAAAAAAAAAATCTGAATTTTTTTTTTTTAAATAAACTACTACATGGCACTTTCTGGCGAGTTTTGTGCAAAGAAATATAGAAAAAAAAGTAGGTCTAGCAAGTCTTATATTTCTGTAATTCACAGAGATCAAACACAAATATGCTGACTGAATAGATTGCTAGTTGAGAAACACTGCTTTAATTAATGTTTTTATGATGACTTTATGAAAGGTTAACTAAACAGCATGAGCCGTCTTCCTGCTGGCCAGTAAGTTATTTGGCAAATTTCATTCATACAGATCTGTATTATGCTATAGTTTTTGATAGTGTTATACATTTCTTACAGATAATCACGACGATCATTGCGTTTGTCTTACCGAATGTGGTAGCTTTATGCAATTACAGTTTGTCTATAAGCTTTTTTTTTTATTAATGCCGACAGTAAAATGTTGCCAAATATTGCTACGGAAAACAAAATAATAATAATCCGAAATAAGTTCAAAGCTTGTGTTTTGGAAATAAGATTAATATATCACTAACCCTAACATGCAACTTTCCACTTTAATAATTTCCTAAAGTGTCACATTAAATCAGAAAAACAGGTCCAGAAGACTACTGCCACCTTTTCATTAGGTGGATCTGGCAACACGGAGGCTGCACGCGCGCCCTCACTCACAACGCACTCTCAAGCCCCGTTCACTGCGCTAGCTTCTCGCAGCAACATGTCATGCATTGCAAACACTCATATGATGTGGTTTAAACGGCTAATTAATCATTCAGAGAGATTGACATTTTATTTTTGAATGTAAAATATGACAGAGTTCCGGACCTCGGTCACCTCATAGCTGGCTACGGCCATGGACTTGTAACATATCGTTAGCACGTACCGGGCATCACAAAAAAGTTTGTTACCCTCTGCAATTTTGCTAAAAACGTTTTGCTTTCCTCCCGCTTCCTGCTTTTTCAGCACCGCTTGGGTAGCTTCTCTGTCTGTCACTCTGTAGCCTACACTGTCTGTCAATAACCTATTTTTCTCCGTCAGTTTTTTGGCGCATTAGCCTAGCCTTGTCACTTTCGCACGCAGAAGGGGGGGGGGGGGGGGGCCTCCTGTCTGCGACACTAATGATTTGATGCCTTTTTTCGCAAATGTTTTTTAGAAATATATAATTTGCGAAAATTAAAAAATAAAAAAAAACTTAAGCATAATTTAATGGGGCATTTTGGGGGCCCCTAGGTAGCTCGGGGCCCAAGGCAATTGGGTTAAGTCCGCCCCTGCACACGACAAGAGTGTAGAACAGTCAGGTTCTCAACCAGGGGGCGGAGGCCCACAGGGGCGGGGCACCTTAGCAAATATGATTTTAAATAATTTATATTAAATAATCAAACTTAAATAAAATACAAAAAAACAAAAAAAACGTTAACTGAATATATTTTTTAAATGTTTTATATACAGTTCATGAAATTTGGCATTACAAAAATAATTGGTCGGCATGAAAAGGAAGTTGCGATAGTCTTCTCTTCCCCATTGTAAGGGCGGGGCTTGATTTTGTTAATCAGAAATGTATTGGTTCTTTGGATGGTTGGTTTGATATTGCTGTGATGTTATGTGAGTGACAGATGTTCCGCCCTCACGCCAGTAAAGTAAGGGGAAGTTATTTTAATTAAAGATTACGAGGGCACATTCATTTTAAGAAAATAATGATTTGCACTGACAAATAATTTATAATAAATACTGCAATGGTCCCTAAAAAAATAAGAATTGTCAATTTTGGTGACTTTTATAATAGGCTATTTTCACTTTTCTGTTACTACACGTTTGAAAACAAGCAGCGTCGTCATAATTACAGCATATTGTGTTGCAGTGGGGGGCCTTCAAGTCCAAAAGGTTGAGAAACACTGGTGTAGTGCAAGTAGGCTAAATGTCTTGAGGATATTCCTGCAATAGGCTGCAATTCAAGGAGCGCATTTTCATTGAGGACACCGCCGTTATGTGGGCACTGCGTGCTATAGCATCACTTTTAAAGTTAGGAAAGAAAATATCAGAGGTATACTTATCATCTCTTCACAACTCGAGGCTTTTATAGGTTAACACGACACCTGGATGCCACAAATGTCAATAGCACAGCAGCCGTTCCTGTCAAGATTGTAAAACAGAACTCATCAGTGCGCAAACGTCACCAAAACAGGAGAGTTAAGTTTGTTTGCGTGCATATAATATTCATATTCCAGATTATCACATTTCACAGAAGGTATTTAGATTCATACGGTTCGCTGCTATTATAGAAAACTACCTAGAAACCGTTGTTACGGTAATATTTACCACGGCTTATGAATATGCAAACCAGGGCGCGCGCAAGGGGGCGCGGTCCGTCCGGCTGCGGGGAAACGGAAGCGGAAGTGCCGCCATCTCCTCTGACCAGCCGAGCAACAGCAGGGTCAGTGCAGACGGTTTTTGAGAAAGTAGCTCTGTTATATCATTAGAATCGGTTGTGTGACACGTTACATATTTAAATGACGAACGCGACTCGAGAGGTGATAGTTGTGAAAGAAAACCACTGTCGCTTCAATCTGTCACGCACTCACGCGCGTCTCTTTATGAGTTGAGTTAGCATAGCGCAGCGCTCACGCCTCTAAATGAGTGTTTTTAATTCAGCGCCGTGACAGAGACAACAGCGCTTTCCTTTACTCCCGTCTTCACCGATAATAACCCGCTTTCTGCTATTCGGCTGGATGTCTGGTCGTGTTTGAGAGGGGGAACTGAAGCTCAACGGTAAGTAGCCCCAGCTAGCTGATCTCTAGTTGACTTGGGAATGATCTCTTTCTATCAGTTTGAGACACTGTGGACCGCACAAGACTTATATGGTGTTGAAGTTACTTTCGGAGGGTTGTCTAAAGGCTTGCAATGAAAAGCGGTTTGTTTATGTGGCTGGGTGGGGATCTAGAGAGATTTGATAGCCCCTACTGTCATCTGCTCAGACAAAGATAAACTACTCGCCACTTTAACAGATCTGATACTTCACCAACTGTCAGATTTCACACACACATTTCCAAGCAACAGTTGTCATAGATAAGTTCATTGAATGTTGTTTATCTCCTCACAGCTTGCTTTGGAAAACCACCTGTTGACCCCTGAATTTACTGTTTTGAATGGAGGTTGAAGTCAAGGTCTGTGGTCTAATTGACTACAGTTCATTCAGACTTTAGTACTTTGCTCCTGGCATCCTCAAGGCGGCTGTTATTATCAGGTCAAAGCCTTACGCAACAGTGCTGCATATTAATACACCCTCATGAACTACTACTTATCGCCTGTTCTTTCTGGATTGACCGAGACTTTTTAGAAATACATTTTTAGTATATTTGCATAAATATGATTTCACTTTAATGAATAAGTTCATTAATATAGCTAATCAACTTATGTTAGTAACTCCTTTATTTATGTGTTGTACAATGTGTTGAATTTAATATTAACCCTGTAAAGCCTGACATTAAATGAAAGTCAGAAACGTCAAATTGTTTTTAATGGAACAGTGTTTTGTACCTTTTAGACAAAATATGAACAAATTAAAAAGCTCACATTGGAGGAGGGTAAATAGATTTTATTTAGAGGCCCAAACTGAGCAAATAAATGCAATTTGCTGTAGATGTTGTTATTTGTATGGTCAAAAAGTAAGATGAAATGCTGATTGCTTGTCGTAAATCAATGAGATTTTTCTAACAGTATAGCAGACTACTTGCATAAAATGCATATAAATATCAGTTCTCAATATCTCCCAATAAAACAATGCAATGCAATACAATGATGACTGAGAGGTGTACAAATAAAAGTCTGTTTTGTTATATTTGATACATTTTAACATGAAGCAATTAACATTCTAAAAATTGATTTAGGAATAATCAAGTAAACCTAAGTTGCTTCAGTCCCGTAAATGTTCATCTTGAAATATTTATAACAATATAAGTCAATCTTACATTTACTTTATAAAAATCAGTAAATATTTCACACTAAAAAGACATGTACAACTATCAATCAGATAGTCCATGTATCAAATATGGTACAGTAGAGTAGAGTAGACTATATTATAGTCCTTATGCACAAATGAAACAAGCGCGCAGCCATCTTTAGAGTATTGTCTTTGAACTTCCGTTTGCTCTGTATATTTCTGTGGCATCGCTGTCAAAGAGTAATTAGCCGGTGAAGTGGATTTACTTATTGGAGAGTTAATGAAAGTTTTCATGAGCATTGTAATGTTTGAAGCGGATGTCATAACAAATGTCAGTAGACCGGGAAGATTTTAAAACGAGCGGTTCATTCATAAATCCGTAAGATCTTACCTTCATGCTGTGGAAATACAAACCAGCGCAGCGCTGAAAAGGGGCGGGGCTACATAATGTAGTAAAATGTGTCTGTGAAACGTGATGTTGATTAAAGTGATTCATTGAATGTTTTGTACGTCACAGCAGGTGTGACGCTTCAGCTTTGTTGTAGTTTCTCTTGGCCTACACCTAGCTGATGTTACAGATGAGTAATGTGTAGTGCCTTTAGGCACTGTCTGCTATTAATGCATTTGATCTATTGTGAGAGAATGGAATTGAATGTCTGTTGTGTTTTTAAGCCTCCACAGTGCTGCATCAGCTTTCATCCCTGTATGTTGTTCCTCCTGTCTAAATCTCTGTTCTTCTCGTAGTTGTTTCACCCCACATCTGTGGTTCCGGGCCCTCATGTGGCCGCCGTGCGGAGGTTTGGAACAGTGGACAGGCTAAACACTGAGAGACCCCGACCTGAGCACGCACACAGAGAGAGACCGAGAGGGGGGGAGAGAGACTGACACTCCCAGGTATAGTACACTTCACAGACACTTCCTGGAGCCAGAGTCTCACGTCATCAGATGCTCTTGTGTTTACAGGGCTTTTTAGTTTGGGGAATTCCTCAGGCTGGGCTCTCATGGTTACAGTGGGTGTACGGTACTGCTAAAGCATTTCTTTTGTGTTTTCTAAAAAACGTCTCACTGGTAACTCCGTGTCATTCTTAGATATTAAAGTTTTGTTTGGATCTCAGAGTCGATACACTCCCATTTGAAAAATGTGTAGCCTTTGTTTGCTTTTGTACCTGTCCATATTAGTGTTTTATTGACATTGTTTTACAATGTCCCAGATTTTGCAGAACCTGATAGCCAGCCTGTTGCCATGTCGACATCATCGCTGCGGCGACAAGTGAAGAACATTGTTCACAATTACTCAGAGGCGGAGATAAAGGTTAGACTTTTACCTTTATAACCTTGCTTTCGTTTTCTTTCTTCTTCTATTCACATTCTTCTTCTTGGCCTTGAAACAATCTTATTCATGGAAAGTCTTTTAGTTCTTGATAAATGTTTTGCGCTTGCCCTTCATTTTTTCGATCGAATGAAACTGTATGCTATGCAGTCATACAAAGGAGCAGAAATTCATTCAGTCTTTTTTTCAGTTATTTATTTCGGTTTCGGTTGAAACTAACCAAAAATGCTTACAACACAAAATCTTAAATGAATCGCAGGAAGTGCATGACTCATTATCACGTTTTGTATGTGGTCATTAGAAATTTTGGGGATGATATCCAGTCATTTAAATAGGAAACCATTCTACAGTCCCCACGCAGATTCCGCTCATGTTCAAGTTAGTCACGCAAATGCACCGCTTTGACCATACTGTTAACCCGAATAAGTTGGCAAAATTTTAAAAAAATTGAGGTAAGCATTTACATGAAAAAAATGTAAGTTAAGAAATTCAAGTTTAAGGAAGCAGAACTGGTATATTATTATTTTGTAATCATTTCAATTGCTATTAACTTGAAATAATTGTATAAGCTAATTCATATATTTTACTTTAAATTATCATGTAATTTCAACTTAAACAGTTTTAGTAGTGGAAACTTGGCTAGCTTTATTAATTCTAGCTAATTCAGTAAATGCTAACTTGTTAATTGGTAACACAATGCTTTCATAGCATAGCAATTGCTAAAAGAGTACTACAATATAGAACATTTAACTTATACCTGTTCTCAAAACAAGCTCATGTTCCACTCATCACCATGATGGTAACCCCCCCACCCCCCCACCCTCAAAAAAACCCCCCACATAACAGAAACTCTTCTAAATTAGCATAACAAAACATTAAACGCTACTAAATCTCACACTTCAGGGCCGGCCCAAGTCTTTTGAGGCTCTAAGCAGAACAGGGACACAATTTGATTAATTTGATTAATGCATCCATGGCCAGGATAATTATAAAATATGATTCTCTAACAGCAGTCAAGTTGTCATTGTTTGTGTCAAACAAGTTGTAAATTTGTTGTAACATTAAAACAGGAGAGCATGACTTACTCTTTGCTCAAAGTGATACTCGGAGCTCCAGTGGTTTCCTCTGCGGGTTAACGAAACTTTTGGATGTTGTTGCAGAATCACGTGAACAATTCCAGGAAATGCTTTTTTTTATTTGTTGTTGCGTTAAATCTTACCCAGATACAATAGTGCTATTTTCTGATTGGCTAATTGTGTAGCCCATCCTTTTTTTGATTGGCTGATAAGTGGCAGGGGAGACGCGCTTGATTCCTGCCGGTTCCACAGTGAAAGCGGCGCGGCCAGAGACAATTTGGGCGCTGCGGTATATTAAATATATTATAAATAGTTTTTCTGCGTGAGAAATACAATGTGTGGCGGGAGTGCGTGACAAAAGACCGAAATGAGTGACTGCCACGCTCAATGCGTGACACTTGAGAGAGCCCTGCAGACGCAAAAGATAAAGTCCAGTAATCAGGAAATGAAATGTTTAACCGGCAAGGCTTTACAGCACATGCAAATACACTTGTGATTGCGAATAAGTGCAGTGTCCAGTGAGTGTAACTATACCGCTGCGTTAACGTGATGTGAATGTACGTCATGTTGTGCAGTATTGGGATGGAGGCACCAGAACATTTTTCGCTGTAAAAATCAAACTGTGATTTCATGTGCTCTTGGGGGCCCCCTGGTGGACACAGGAGCAGCCGTTTAGTTCGCTTGTGCCTTGGGCCTGCTCCACTTAACACTTAACTTTAATCTTGCACAAACACTTAATTATATAACACTTAATTTCAGCATTTACTCTCCCTTTCGAGTGTTTTGACAAAGCATGCTGGGAAATAGAAATCCCAGCTCAGTTTCAGTTAAATTTATGTTTGTCTAAATTAAAGGTGCCATGTGTAAGAATTGAGGTAAAAATATCCAAAAAATGAGCGACACGCATCAAAAGAATGAGAAGAAATAAGGGCGATGATGTCATTAAAAAAATGACAAGTTATAGTGCTGCAGAGATATCAACCTGAATTAGCATGCTAAATAACTAGCCACGGCCCGACAGGTGTCATAATACCAGTTTCGGCCATGGGAGGCGGTATGCGGGCAACATTACCACCAGCCAAACTGCAATACACGAATAACTCGCACGGCTTGTGGGCGTACTTGAACCTGATGTCAATCGTGTGGAAAGTCTGAAGCCCTTGGCAAGAGACCCTTACTACCACCACCACAACCACCCGCTACAGGGAAAAAAACGCGCTCGGAATCACAAATAAAATCGGATAAAAAAAGCAGCAGAACCACCGTAAACATTGGCACTGCTTTCCATCGCTGGAGACAACTAATGGACATGAAAGAAATGAGGAACTTGCAACATTTCTTTTGGATTGGTAAGTAAGATGCTGTTAGTATTTCGCTAGAAGTTTGTTTTATATGTTTGTTTAGTTTTTTCGGGAAGTTATAACATAGAAATGTATCGAAGGCTGTTCGATAAAAATAAAAGTGCTCTAAAAATAGCTCTTTTTTTCTTGCCAACTACGTGACCTATATTATGTTTGTGTGAATACACCCTAAAAATCACTTGACATCAACCAACGTTCCTCTGGAGTCAAAACGTCCTCTATTAGGAGTTGGCTCGGCTTCGGCTATGGCTCTGGGGCCGTTGTGAAGGTAGGGGCGGAGCATAGAGACTATGCCGTTTCTCGTTTGTTACTCTAGAGTAGACCAACTCACTTTCTGGAGGTATACTGCCCCCATCTGGTATGGAATGTGGAGTATGAATTGATTTTTTGGCGGACATTACACAAGGCACCTTTAAAAGAAACAAGGTCATACAATTTAAAACAACGAAACCATTCAGATTACTTAAAATGTGTCAGTTTTGTTAACTCAAGAGAAAAGTTAATTTTATGAATTAACTAATTTGTTTAATTTAACCCTTTCACACGTAAGTTTAAAATATTCTAACTGACCCCCCAGCGTGAGTTTTTCAAGGCGACCGTTATTTAGAACTTGTCACTTTAATGTTTCCATGGTGACGCGTCATTGCTTGTCACGTGACACAGCGCAACCATAACACAGCGCTGAATGAATGATGATCTGCTTTTATGTGATTTTTCCTTTTTTATTAAAAATATTCACAAATGTATTAGCTATAGCATGAAACACTGATATTCCGATTGTCAAATATGTGCAAGTGGATGGGTTTTGTTGTTTAAACATCTTTATAACGATCGCGTTAGTTGAGCTGTATGCACAATGGGCGGCGCCATTTTAGTTTGTTTTACAGTTCAGAGAATCGGATCTGTTGGATGTACAACACGTCAATTCCTCCACTACTCACGAAATACATGAAAGTAAGTGGCTGTTGAACTGGGAGGAGAATAGGGTCAAATGTAAAGCTACCTACACAATGTGTATCTGATATGAATAAAACGTGTCATCTTATTATAATGGAAAGGATTATTATTGCCGCTTCCATAGACATCAGTGTGTATTTTACAAACTCAAAATCATTGTTTTGCTAGTACTTATGTGTATTTAAATGTCTGAAACCTAAAATAAACATTATGTGGTTGAAAACACTCAATAGTTGTGATATATGACAGCACTGAGCGCGTCCGTCTCTGGCTCAGCGCCAGCCAACGCACGAAAGCACGTTTGAATTTAGCAGTTGATCACGTGATGCACTGACTGTTCTAATCACACCGGTGTGATCGTACGCTCCAGGGACCAGCCAAGACTGATCACACCGGTGTGATCGTACACGTGAAAGGGTTAAGTTTACCCTACTCAAACCAATTAATTATTTTGAGCATTAGGGTGTACAGTATAAAAGAAAGCTGCTCGTTTTGGTTTCTATGCGATCTGTGCTTCATGCAATGCCACTCTTTTGACAATGGACCTTTTTTGCTTGAATTTTTTTACAGAAAAGTTAACGTAAATGTTACCGGAAAAGCATTAACAGCAATCTTTCTTGTAGAGCTATGATGGAGGGATGGGCAACTTCGGTCCTGGAGGGCCACTGTCCTACAGAGTTTAGCTTCAACCCTAATCAAACACACCTGAACAAGCTAATCGAGGTCTTCAGGATTACTAGAAAGTTACAGGCAGTTGATTTTTTCAGGGTTGGAGCTAAACTCTGTAGGACAGTGGCCCTCCAGGACCGACGTTGCCCATCCATACGGTGTAATGGCGATTAATAATGTGTTGAGCACTCGGATGTGTTGTTGTTTGTATTGTATTTCATTTTAAAAAATGTAAAAATCAAACATTAATGCATTCAAAAATTACAAGTAAATGTAATTTATTTATAGCCTACTTTTTAACTTGACAACACTAGCTGAACAAAAATGCAATGTAATTGAGGTCATATGACAACAATGTAGCAAACTACTGTTTGAAATGTTATAGTTGCATATAGTATACTGTTTCACATACTTAAAAAAAAAAAAGTAGGCAGCATATGGCGCTTTTCCATTACCAGTACCAGCTCGACTCGACTCGACTCGCCTTGGCTCGCCTCGACTCGGCTCGCTTTTCGCTCCGTTTTCCATTGCAGAAAGTACCGCCACAAATAGTACCCGGTCGTCATAGCGACGCATTTCGTTCCCCCATCAAGCTCTCGCTGGATCCTCTCTTCGGCAACCAAACAAAGGAATGTCTGCACCTCCTCGTTTGACCACAGCGTATTCTTCCGAGTTGCCATAATAATAGTAGTAAGTTTAGTAACTATCTCTGGCCAAACTATTTAAAAATGGCGGGGTTATTCTGGATACTCCATGGCGCGTGCAATGATGACGCAGATTCTCTGTGACCAATCAGCAGTCGGCATTGTTTTCACGTCACATTTTAGTATCGTCTTAGCTCGCCTCAGCTCGCTTAGAACCTCGCCGGAGGTGGTACGAAAAAAAGTACCCGAAAGCAGGTACAGGTACAACTTTTACACAGTGGAAAACCAAACAAAGGCGAGTCGAGTCGAGCCGAGCCGAGGCGAGCTGGTACTGTGTAGTGGAAAAGCGCCAATACAGTGTGCATTGCACTGTATTCAGAAGCAGAGCAAAGTTCATTGAACTTTATTTTGTACTTTCTCCAGGTTAGGGAAGCAACCTCTAATGACCCATGGGGTCCCTCTAGCTCTCTGATGTCAGAGATTGCTGATCTGACATACAATGTAGTGGCCTTCTCAGAGATTATGAGCATGGTTTGGAAGAGACTCAACGACCATGGGAAGAATTGGAGACATGTATATAAAGTAAGTTTGATGGTAGATTTATTATATAGGGTTATAAACAACATAATCTGATTGTGTTTTTTACATTTGCTAAGGCTATGACTCTGATGGAGTATCTGATCAAGACAGGATCAGAGCGAGTGGCACAGCAATGCAGGGAAAACATCTACGCCGTTCAGACACTCAAAGACTTTCAGTACATAGACAGAGATGGCAAGGACCAGGTACACAGAAACTGAAAGTTATATTTATGAATACACATGCAAATGAGACGTGTTTTCTCTTTCAATAAGGAAATAAAAGAAGAGCTCTTGGTGTTAGTTTTGAAGTGTCCTTCAACTTGTTAGTGGTTCTCAAATATGATTTACACACCATAACAATCTCTTGTTCAAGGTCTCCATGTGCAGTCAACTCAAACACCATGACTTTCAACCAAGGTCTTTCTCCCACTCACACTTAAACCACAAAAACATCAGCCCAGTCTTCAGCTCACTAGGTTTTGTTTTAGTCCCCCTGGTATATTCCTAACATGTTTGTCATGAGCACTACCTCAAACTCAACAACTTCCAGTTCAGGTTGTTTAATTATTCATTCAGATGCTGAACAAAAGAGCCATTAAACCTGTTGCAATTGCACACATGCTTTGCACAAAACAAAACATTTCTGAATGTCACATGTTGCGTGTGTTTTTCAGGGTGTGAATGTACGGGAAAAGGCCAAGCAGCTGGTGACTCTGCTAAAAGACGAGGAGAGGTTAAGAGAGGAGAGAATCCATGCACTCAAGACCAAAGAGAAGATGGCACAGACCAGCAGTGGTAAGAACTAGAAGTGCTTTGCAGTAGGAGGGGCTCATGAAGGGGTCAGAGCGGACACTCAAAGATGTCTGTCAGCCCCCTTATAAAAGCACTCTGCACTTCACAGCGTTGGCCAAGTGTGGAGGTTGGCAAGCGTTTTGTTCTGTAAGCACTTTTAGGGACCGATACTCCACCATCTATTGATGCATCATAATGGCTGTCATTTGACTCCTCCCTTAGCATCTTCGGCCCCTTCTGCTCCTGCTTTAGGGGGAGGAGTGCACTCAGGAGCAGACGCTGAGCAGGCGTGGCCCCAGAGCTCCGGAGAGGAGGACCTGCAGCTCCAGCTGGCACTGGCCATGAGCAAGGAAGAGGCAGAGCAGGTAAAGTCTCTCAGCCAATCAGCGACAGGTTTTCAGGCTGCAGGTAAAATGCACTATTGAAATGGTTCAGGGACTGAGGAAGATGAATAGTTGTTCTACTAGAAACAGAAAGAGCTTTGTAAGCATACTTAATGTGAAATTGGATTTAAGCAGAAAAACATGCAAGGGGTAATATACAGTCAGCTAATCATTAATGCAGAAGAAACCCTGACATGGTGATTAAGGCCCTAATGCAAAGCAGGGGGATGTATCATCCTGAAGGGGTTCCTTTTGCAATAGTGATCGGCTTGCTGTGCATGATCCTGCTTATTACACCGCTTGAGCTTTTGTATATAAGGAAAGAAGAGACCATGCTGTGATAAGGTTGCACAGGAAATTATTTGTCTAAGACAGTGGTCAATTATAAAGTTTTGCAGTCATTATACAAACATATTTGAAAGCAAAATGCCAAGATTGAACAATTAAAATCAAGTATTTCAGAGAGTCGTGTAATAATTTGCTTTAATGGGCTGTGTGACTTTTGAAACAGATTTTTTATTTTAATTTTAGAACATATCGAAGAGTTACAAGTTGTTCTTACATATAATGATTTGTACTGTCAAAATTAGCGTGTTAATGCATGAAATACATTTGTTTCAGATTAACATGTTAAAATATTTAACACAGTTAACGCAGCATCTGTTTTTTCCATCATTCTTTAGCTAGCGCTACATTATATGATCATGCTTTTATTCATTCAAGTGCTTTTAAACCATTCAAGTGTGACAAGAAATCTCCTGTCTGTGTGACACGCACACGACTTATGCGCAGAGAAAGCTGCTTTAGACATCGCGCAGGCCGTATTGAGTTCTCTTTCGTGCTTGAACAGACAAAAACACAAAGTTAAGCAAAAATGCGCGCTTTGTCGAGTATCCTCGTAAGCACAGTCTTTAATGAGTTAAATAAAGATCTTAAATGACCGTAAAGAGTTGTGAGGACATGTTGTGTCAGATGTGCGTCAGGATTTAAAGTGACAGCAGCCTAATAAACCTAAATGAACATAAATGTTAATCAAACAACAAAAGACAGAGAAAATCACTCACTGCTCTAGACTAAATAACATTTATAGCTTTAATAAGGATTAATCTATATTTAATTTATAATTCATGCAGTGAAGACTGTGAAGTGTTTGATAACTTAATTTCTGTATATTTCCTACCTGTTAGATTAAATATTTAAAATATACTGTCTTTATGTTGTTTCTGCATTAATTTGGAGATTAAATGTGAAACTATTACAATATAAAAATATATAAAAAAACTTTAATGTTAGGTGCGATTAATCATGATTAATTACAGGAAATGAGTGATTAATTTGTTTTAATCGATTGACAGCACTAATAATAATATAATAACTGTGGCTTCCCAATCAGCGCTCAACAGTTAGTATTTTTTGGACCGGTTGTTCAGATATCTACTTGCCCTTGCCCAGCAGCGGTAGCTTATACTGTTAGTGAACATCCCGACGCTGTACATGCTGCTGGTAGCGGCGTTTAGATGAATATGTATATATGCGCTGCATGCTTTCCTATCAATAACATAATGAACACACAACAAAAATGACTGTGGTGAGAAAACAACATTAAAGAAAGCATATGATCATAGCGACGTTGATATGTTTGCACCAGCTTTGCAATTCGTCACTTCAGTTTTCACTTCATGTTTTTTTTATAGCACTTCATACAATAGATTGCTTTAATGCAAGCAGCTTTATAGTATTAAACATGAAAAGCAGTGTCAGTGTCTCTAAAATTACAACTTCAGTTTCTACTATAAAGCAGCTCTCTAGTGTGTTCATGTGTTTACATGTGTCTGACCTTGACGGACTGAACAAAAGAAATGAACTGGAAAAGATTTTTTGAGCCACAGAGCACACCTGATTATCATGTAATCGCCATGAACCAATGGTAGATCAAAAGTTGTTTACTAGCTGTAGAAAAGAAACAAACTTCGTTTTGGCATGATTTTGTTCTAACACCAGTTTGTAGCATATTGGAAACTGGCACCCAACAAAAAAAGAATCATAGATTTTTATTAAAATATATATTTTATAGCATTTATATTTTATAATTTATCTGATTTTAAATTTTGTATTTTTTAATATTTACATTCATAATTTTATATGTATTATGTATAATATATATGTATAATTTAATATATATATATATTTTTTTAAATGAAAATATTATCTATTGCTATAATTATTATTATTTATTAATGATAGTTATGATAATTCTATAATAATACAATAAGTATTTAAAAAAATTAAGTTGTCAAAGTATAAAAAGGTATGTAAAAAAAAAAAAAAAAAAAAAAAGTAAGATGGGGCAAGTGAACGCCATTCTGTCATCTGGCTCAACACTCTCACACTGGCCCCAAGCCATCCTTACTGTTGAGCCCTGCTAATAATAACCATGTTTAAAGCTCCCTAAATCTACATTCTTTCCTAACTGCCATCTTAAAATAGAAAAATGGGCTGTTTCTCTAATAAAGTACAATAACACACATTCAACATTAGGGGCCCGTCCTCTGCACAGTTTTTACACATTTCCCCTCTCACTCCTTCACTCACACCTGTCCTCACCCTGCCCCCCTCCTTCAGACTAGCAAAGACCCTCTGGAAGATGCAGAGATCCGCTACGCACTCACAGTCAGCCAGGAGACTCACCAAAAGGTCAGGGAGCAAAAATTCAGTGGATTCACCTTTCCTTTGCTATCTTCTTCCCTCTCAAATCAAAGATCAGCCTAAAATCATATATACATCAGTATGATCATGGAACAATCGAAATATCTAAGAAATACCTAATAAGTGCTTTTAAAAGGTTAGTAATGTCTGTTTTTTTGTGTTGAACTTACCTCTTGTTAGTCATTGCTGTTGTTTAAATTCTTCACTTTTGCATGCTGAAATCAACAAGTCATTTCAAAAGTACCTATAATTCTCAGTAATTGTTCTTTCTTTGCAATTTCACCAGAGCTTATCAATACAATATCAGAGTAGATGAACTGCCCACTACTTCCAAATGCTGTTCATTTGTGCCTAACTCAAGCCTTTTAAACACACCTCTGGAGCTGGTGAGACATGGGAGTCAGGTTGCCACAGTTCACTAGACTCCATTTCCCATCAGCCCACAGAACTTGGTTCACTATGATGATGTGACGGTGGTGTGTGATTGGCAGGAGGAGCGTCTGCGCAGGGGAGACGACCTGAGGCTGCAGATGGCCATCGAGGAGAGTAAGAGGGAGAAAGCCAAGCCCGAGGAGGTGTGTGATTGTGTGTGATTGTGTCAGAAAGAGTTCATGCTTGATGAGCTGTTCCTCTAGGGCGAGAGCGTGAGGTGTACACATGGTAGTGTGTTGTGTTACCGAGGGTTGTGTGTTTGTGTACCTGCCTCTCACTCTCCAAGAGTTACCTGCTCTGTCTGTGTCTCTCACCCTGCGTACGCTCTTTAGCGCAACAGTGTGTGTGAGCCCGTTTCACTTCCTCTAGAGTTTCCTCCTCCTTACCATTTTGCCACACTAGCTATTATTAAACTACTTGGAAGTGTAAGTGTATGTCCTCTCTCAAACAAGCTTCACGCTTTTGCTTTGTCGCATACTACTTTTGATGAGGACATCTTACTGACCTGTCTCTCTCTCAGTCGTCTCTGATGGAGTTGAGTGTCGTAGATCCTTGGGGGGCCCCTGCATCGGGCTCCGCGGGACCCTCTCCTCCTCCCACTTTGGCTCCTGCATCCACCACTGGGCCTTGGGGCCCGGCCGACCCGTGGGGGGCGGCCTCCCCCGCCTCTCCCCCGAGTGCCGATCCCTGGGGAAGAGCACCAGCAACAGTAGTCCCAGACCCATGGGGTGACTCGTCCTCTAGAGTGAACTCTGACCCCTGGGCATCCACAGGTGAGAGTGTAGAGGATGTGTCCTCCCAGTGTCCTCTCTGTCTTTTCCCTGGCTTTTCCTCTATATTTGTGGTGTCCATTGATCCTTGAACTCTCCTTGCATCCCCTCCAGCTGTGACCCCTCCAAGTGCCGACCCTTGGGCTCACTCAGTGGCTCCGGCTCCTACTCCGCTCTCAGGGTCAACCGATCCCTGGGCAGCGGAAGGAGCCGCCCCTGCCACTGACGGTCTGACCTCTGACCCCTGGAGTGGCTCGGTTAAACAAACTAATGGCACAGGTATACTTGTACATGTAAATGCATAGATGCTTATTATCACATGGATGTCAAATTCTGGTCCTGGATGGCCAGCATCTTGCAGAGTTTAACTCCAACTTGTACCAGCACACTTACCTGACAGTTTCTAATAATCCTGAAGACTTTCATTACATCATTGTCAGTTGTGTTTATTTGGGGTTGGAGCTAAACTCTGCAGAACAGTGGACTTCTAGGAGCAGGTTTAGACACCCCTGATTTGTCCGAAGACTTGCCAAAGAAAAGTTAAGTTGCATTAGACACCCCAACAGTGTGTTTGTTGGTAATTCACACACTTCCATTAGACACCACCAATTCTGAAGATGAAAAGGTATTTTACTTGGTACTGGTTAATTGGCCCTTTGTTAAGCTTTACAGAAAGTTTCTTGAGATGAACTGGAGATTTATAGAAATAGAGTGGATATTATTCTTATGTGGGCTGGAATTAATTGTGATGTTGAAGTTTAATTATGCAGTAAGACAAAACTGCGGAGACTGAATCAGAATCGGAGAGCAAACACGACGACAGCTGATAACGTTAGTGTAAAGTCGCCTTTTCCAATGGAGAGTAGTATAGGAACTGTGTGGAATTTAGTTCATATGCTTAAAGGGATACTTCAGGATTTAGCATTAAGCTTTGTATTAGTAGAAAACCTGTAGTATTTTCAAATTACTGTGCTTTCCACCCTCATATCCCCCTGAGACGAGAGATTTATGTATTTTTTTGTCTGGAAAAAATCCTCCGATGACGCAAAAATCGTCATTTTGCGTCATCGGAGGATTTTTTGGCCAGAGGCTAAAGACTACAGCCAGTAGAAGGAGCTGTTCTGCATGTTTTCAACCCGCCCATAGAGGGTGGGATCTCACTCACAGAATGTACACATAGTGTCAGACATATTTTTTGGAAGCTAAGCTAGCAGGCTCGTGTTCTGTGGAGAAAGCTGAGTAGTAGGGGTTACCATTCATCCTCTTTTTCCCGGACATGTCCGGCCGTCGAGATCGTACAAAATGTCCGGGATTCAGCTTTTGCTTTCTGCAGTCGCCATTCATTGTTTACATGCACACCTTTTGTTTCAATCTAACTGAATTCATTCCGAATGGTGAATCTGAATGTAGTGTTTACATGAACGCTAAACAAGTGATCGGTTGATGATGTGCATTTTAACATTGCTAAGAAAATTCCCGCTCCTCCGTGAGAGATACGAGACTGATGCGTCTCACAGGTGTCACTCATCACAGTAATCACGCCACCGGCCTTTTCCGTTCTCCCGCGGCCCTCACTCGTCCTGCTCGCCACAGTAAACATGATGAATGACGACTGTAGAACGCAAAAGCCGAATCCCGGACATTTTGGGCGATCTCGTAATCCCGGGGAGACTCATCACGGAGACTCACTAGTAGCCTAGACTTGTTGTTTAACTACTGCGCTCTGTTACCGGTAGGCGTGGCCTCCTAGGGCAGCGAAGCAAGTGCATTCTGGGAGTTGTTGTCTTTCATCCACATAAGCCAAAAATACATTTTCTGGCTTTTCTCAGTCTAGAAAGCTCCAAATTCAAAAATAATTTCACATTTCTTCTACACAAATGACCCATTTTAAATACACATTCATCTTTCCAGAGGTGAAGTATCCCTTTAATTTTCAGATCTGATTTGAGCTTTGTCTGCGTTAAAATATTTGAACTTTTGCGGCTAGAATGTATCCTGATTTGAATTATTTGCATTAATTAGCTCTAGAAAACTATGCTATAGAAAGCTTTTAAACACATTGGCACTCGTTTGTTTTGTGTGGATATATTCATGTTGGAGATACTGGAAAGGCAGGTTAAGTGAACATAACTGTTACTAACATTTACTGTGAACTGTTTAATTACTGTCGTCACTACAGTGACTTACTGCACATTCCAAAGTTACATTTAATAATGGTGACTGTACTGTTTAATTAATTTTCAACTTGAGAGCGTACACAGCACAGCAACTTACATTGATGCGCTCTTAAAGGGAAACTGACCTTCGGAAACATTTGCTTTGGTTGATTTTGGTCCGTAACATATTTTTAAGGTGGGGCTTAGCAAAGGAGCAGTTGGACTGCAAACCTGTTTTTTTTGTTTGTTAGTCTGCCACAAGATCATATTGTTTAACCATTTACCTGTTAGTCTTTTGTCTAATTCTTTTCCACACACAGCAGATCTAGAGAGAAGAGGATCCTCGTTGACAGGAGGTGATGTAGGAGGTGGAGGCAGCACAGGCTCTCCGGTGCCCTTTGACCTTTCATCGCTCGGTTCCTCCTTGCCTGTTCGAAAAACGCCAGAGTCATTCTTGGGCCCCAATGCAGCGCTCGTGGATTTAGACTCACTTGTATCATCAAAACCCAAACCTAAACAACCTCCACCGCCAAGCATCTCCTCAACATCTCACAACCCCTTTCTGCAGACACAGGGTGTGTATTTAAAATTGGCCACATTTAGACAGAAATTATGTGTTTGTTTATCCCTCAAACTTTCTTTTTCTCCGTTTCCTTAAGGTCCCTCCTCAACAGGTATGGGAGTTACCCCGGGCAGTAACATTTCCAGTAGAGGGGTGTCTCCGACCCCATCTTCCACTTCTAATCCTTTTGGCGTGACCCCGATGGCATCCATCTCCCCTCAACCTTCTTCACTTGGTTTGAGCCAGCTACGTACAAGCCCTGTTCCCCCAAACCCTATGCTGGGTCACATGGCTTCACCAGCAGTGGGAATGGTTCAGCCAGGGATGGCCATGCCAGTAATGGGGGTCCCTATGGCGGCCCCTGGTATGGGCATGGGAATAGTACAGTCCAGCTCAATGGGCATGCCTTTTGGTGGAATATCCCCCATGGGTCCTGCAGGAAACCCCTTGCTGATGGGGTCAGGAGGCCCTGCGCAGCCTTCACTGATTTTGGGTGGGCCGTCTGGGGTGGGCGGAGTAATGGGAACAGGAGGATCCATGGGAGGTGGAACCACAGGCACAAGCACCAATCCTTTCCTCCTTTGAGAGATTTCACCAATCCCACGTTGCCCTATCCACTCAACAACCAATCCAAACCTGCCCTACCAACACAAACAATTTGTGTTTGACAAAAAAGAAATGTGTGTACATCTCTATATTTAATGAAAAAGTAAAAACAAAAATGTGTTATTTTCTTTCACGAAACAGCATTTCAATTATTTTTTTTTTCATTTTATTTTACACCGTATTTGGAGTATTTATTTCCCCTTTCGTTAAATTTTTCTTTTCTTTGACAGACATGGATGATTGGCGGGTTCATTCAATGAATGCAGGTTGTTAATATTGTTATATTATTAGGATGATTGTTATTGCTCAGTAACAGGAAGATGAAGATACGGGAGGAGGAAAACAAGCCACTAATGAACTCAATCATACACCCCTTTCTCCCTCTTTCATTGAGGTGAACCTCTGAAGAAAGAGTAACATGAAGGATGACTGACGGGCTTGAAGAATTCAGCTGTGCGTTTTATTCACAACTCTACTAAAAATCATCAATAGATGTATTACTTTTAATTTAATTTAATGTGTAATCTTGTGTAATTTATTTTAATCTAATGTGTTTGACTCCTGGGAACGATTAAACCAAGGAAAATCGCACTGGAAATTGCCATTGAAACAGATGCCTGTTTGGTTTCCTTTGACCTGCGAAATTTCAGTGCACGTCATGTGGTTCTTATACACAGGAACAGGGGCTGTACGTGTGCTTGCGTGTGTGAGTGAGAGCGTGTATGATGTGTCCAGTGTTTTCACTCGGCCCACTGCTGTGCTTCTGATGGGGTTTTATCAGCATAGTCTCACTTTCAGCATAATGGTTCTTTTCAGCCATTTATTTTTACAGTCGTAAGAATCAAAGCATTAATTCAACACCTGTTCACGTGAGAAACAGCGCCTGTCTTTGCATTTCACCTCAGCACCTTTTTACTTTGACATTTACACAGAGAATGGGAATTGTTAACGCTTATGAAAATGAAAAAGAATTATCTGAATGATTTATGTGAAATCATAATGTAAAATTGGGGACTGAATGACATGATTCATGCTGTTATTCTTTATTTACTTTCAATGAATTATTTTATATATATGAACATTTTAGAGATGTTTCTCTAATATTGGCTATGGTCAAAAATTGTGCGGTGTTGACTGTGAACATTCACATTTAAAAATAAAATGGAGAAAAAAAAATCGAAGAAATTTAAGAAATAAAAAAAAATCCACATAAAATTGTCCAAGCTTTTTTTTGTTGCATTGATTTGATTTTAAATGGAAATTAAAATGACAGTGAGTTAAAACATTTCCTTTTATTTGTTTTAACTCCATAATGGGAAATGCTATGACACAAGATGTAGTAATATCAAGCTATAAATGTCGATCAATTTCAGTCAATATACACATACCGGTATGTATTGTCATAAAATACCTCAGTGTACTGTTAAACTGTGTTTATTCTCCCACAAATTGTTAGTGTACATGCAATTTGTTGGAAAAGTGCAATTTAAAATCTTTGGTCAAAAAGTTCTTTCAATAACTACTTAACTTGACTGTAGACTAGATCAACATTCAGCAAAAACTGAGCCATTGTCAATAGGTCAAGGCTGTGGAAGTGCTAACGTTATTTACATTGTAATACACTGACGTAAAACTTAAAAGGCAGTCGGGCGTGTGTAGCGTGGGCTAAGAGAAAAGGTATGTTACATTAATGAAAACATTGTCAGGATTGATCCACCCTAACCTTCAAGGTCTGGGTCAGAGTTCAGGAACAAACATGAATATATTGCATTGTAAGTTTTGGTTAACCTCACACATCAACATGCAGCTGACAATAGCAACACCATTGTGCCGTATCAATTGTAAGGTAGAACTGAACTGAAAGGAAACAACTGAATGATGGTCATCGTTAAGATGGTGCTGCTTTTGTTCCATATATACATGAAACCAGATTAATGAGTTGGCATCTCCTCCTTGACACACACTGATGACTTTTCTCAAAAATTGTCACATTTTTTCTTTTACTTTGTATTTATGTGTGTATATCTGCCAACAGAATTATTCAATCAATGAATCCCAATCGAAATCATCCAGGATTTCTTCACTGTTGCTATGAAGATTCTTCAAGGGTGGATGACCTGTTGGGGTCAGTGGTTGAGTTTGAAGTGCTGCATAAAGACAGAATAACATCATATTTGGACGCCTGAGCAAATAATAGACCAACATAGCAACACTAATTTCCTCTCTGAATGAATAAAGGCACTTAAAGGGATAGTTCACCCAAAAATGAAAATTGTCATTATTTACTCACCCTCATGTCCTTCCACACCTGTAGGAGTTTCTTTATTCTGCAGAACGCAACAGAATATACTTTGAAAAATGTCTGTTCTTTGTCCATACAATGAAAGTCAACGGGGTCCAAAACAACATTTGGACCTCACTGACTTATTGTGTGGACAAAAACAGTTAAAACATTCTTCATGATATGTCATGTTCCACAAAAGAAAGACCGTCATGGAAAGGTTTGGAATGACATGAGGGTAGGGTGACCTACCGAAATTGGCAGCTTTGTACCTCGTCCTGCAAGACGTAAGCAGTGTCCCGCATTTCAATTATGTCTGTATTATTTTTTTCTTCCCTGAAACTACAATCTCACAATAAGAAATAAGATAATAAACATGCGACTGCAGATTTTCCCGCTGATGACGACTGGACAGGGCAAAGGAATCAGTGTAGACCTCATCAAAACTCATTAAATACAGCTGCACCAGCCAAGACTTCATCTAGACACATACTGGATAAGAACATCCTGAGCAAACCTGCCAGATCCTACAAAAAATACAAGTTGAAGATGTACTGAATCCGGTAAAATGCATTTACATAGTCTAATAAATGAAAATAAACTATTCGCATTTCTTTTAGTATAAAATTAGATTTTTAGCTGGCCTGTAACTAGTTCATTAAATAGGACCTGTAGTGTAAATCACATTGTCTCACTTGAATTTGTGAACTTGGGTAAATTGAGTACCAGTTACAGAGCATTAACAAAGCTTATCAACGATTAAAAACATGTTATCATCCAACGTAACGGCAAATAGGCTTTCCAACTCATGTAAATCAATGTTTATTTACATAGTATAATAATAGTAAATTTATCTCTCTCACGTGTCCCGCAAAATCACATCTACGTCCTGCAACAGAGCTATAACCAGGTGGTCACCCTACATGAGGGGAGAACTATCCCTTTCAGTTTAGATGCACTGGTCCTGTAAGGATTTAAGGGATCTCTCAACGTACCGTTAGGAGTCAGAGGTTGGCTCATGGTGGGCTGCAGCCCTGGCGGTCTTTGTGCTGTCTGGTTGTGGGTGTGAGGGGTCAGGGTTCTCCTGGGATTTTGGAGAGGAGATTCACCAGTGCCAGGTGGGAGCTGGGAGTATATGAGTGGGGATGGTTGAGTTAAACTAGCCAGGGTGGGAGAGTTAGTGGGCGGAATATTGAGAGGAGGTGGGGCCATTTGTGCAAAAGGGGAGGAGCCACCAGAAGACGAGCCAATGAGACCCTTCTGAGTGAAGAAACGGTTGAGCGAATCACAGAGCGAGGTGAAGAGAGCTGAATCCAATGCCCAGTCACAGAGCTCGGCCTGACGCATGCTCTCTACCAGGTCTGAATGAAAACAACACAGATAGAGAGACCTAATAAATCTCCCTTACACTGATGAACAGCAGTTTTGTAGTATTGTTGTCCATTATTTTAAAAATCATTGTAAAGAGAGAAAGTAATGTCTAGCCAAAGAAATACATCACTTTGTTAGCTGCCTTTAGTGTAGCTATTTTTTCCAAAGGGAAGCTTGATTGTTTTTTCTACTTTCAATAATGAGAACCTTGTAACTTGCAACAGCTACAGTTTTAAAATAGTTTCCCAACAGTGGAAAATAGTGCTTCTGGATAAACAAATTCCAAGATGGTCCCATTGAAATTAAACTGTAAATCCAGAGCAGAAAATTAAAGCATGTTGTGCATCATATATCTCACTGTAGTCTATAGTTGAGTACTAACCAGGGTGACAGGTGAGGTCAATGTTAGCCCAGTCCAGACTACTAGCAATTCTGAAACTCTCTCTCAAAGAGTCAGCGTTACTGAACCAGTCTGCAGGAACAACTAAGAGAGAGAGAGAGAGAGAGAGAGAGAGAGGATCAGTCATCAGGACACTCATATCCCATCAACACGTCACTACTGAGCAGTTATACTCACCATTACTGTGTAGCAGCTTGTCAGGCTCAGTGTTGGAGTTGGGATGAATGTTAGCATTCTGGTTTGGGTTTAGGTTTGGGATAAAACTAGGGTTAGTAGTATTGGGTGTATTTGGGTTGAAGTTGCCGTTGGTATTGAGGTTTGGGTTGAAGGTAGATGTTGGGTTGGTATACTGGTTAATATTGAGGTTTGGGCAGGGACAGGGGGAGAAAGGAGGCAGGGTTGGGGTGTGGAGTGGTGTACTGTCATGGGTAAATCCAAGTAAATTGGGAACATCAGCTATGAGAGAAGGAGAGAGAGAGAGATTAAGCACACCTAATCTTAAAACGTATTAATTCTGAATCTTTGAAAGTAAATAATAAGCTAAAGGAAAAGAGTGGCATAATTGATTTACTTACATTGTGAGGTGACTCTGTCTCTCACTGAGCGACAGAGGGACTGAAAGGAATTGTACAGATCCGGTAGGTTCAAATCAGCAAAGGAGAATCGGAGAGGGGGATCGGCATGAGGGTTCGAAGGAAGAGATGTAGGTATGGGGGCACTTGCACGTTGCTGTGGAAACGATGACTGCAGAGATAAATTTGAGAGTAATTTGGATAAACAATATGTCATATACCACTTAAAGGAATATTTCAGCCAAAAATGTTTTTTTTCCATGAAGCTCAAAAGGAGAATTTTTTAAAGATCTTAAAAGTAGCTCGTTTAAGTTCCAACAAGGACAAAAAAAGCACCATAAAAGTTTCAGTGTCGTTCAGTGTTGGGGCTAATGCATTACAAGTAATACGAGTTAGGTAATCAGATTACTTTTCCAAGTAACTAGTACACTTTACTTTTAAATTTACAAATAGGTTACTTTTTCAAATAGGTAATGCAGGTTACTTTGTTTTCCCATTTATTGATTGACACCTCTCCTGTCCCCATGTTGAGAGAAATCGTGAGTAAGTGCAGTGGCGTTGTGTGTGCTGAATCAAAATGGTGGTTATTGTAGTTGTAGGCTAAATGTGAGCATGCGATTTCTCATCTCTCTTACACAAAAAAAGGTTCAGTATTCCATAAAATGAATTAAAATAGTGAAATGCAAACTCAGAATATTAAGCAAACCTGCAATAATTAAATGTTAAATTACACAAATATACTTTATGTATTTAATCTCACTTTATTAAGCAATGTCTATGGTTCTGACCTTCTATGATTCAATTCAACCATATAAATAAGCAAAAATGACTATAGATAAACATCACATTTGTGTTGAATTTTTTTTAAATAGCTGAAGTAAGAGTGTAAAAGTTTTGTTTGAGCTGCACCCTCTACTGTACAGACGTGAATTTGCATTTCCTTCAGCTTAACACTTATTCATTTAACTTTTGGTGTGAAAGGGCCTTTACATTTGCCAAAAATATGACATGTAACATTTAGTTTTGTTTGTTTTGTAATTAAAACAAACAAGCAAGCCCAGCCCGGATGAGAATGCAAAAGTAACAGTTACTTTCCATAAAAAGTAACTAAGTAATGCAATTAGTTACTTTTTAGGGAGTAACGCAATACTGTAATGCATTACTTTAAAAAGTAGCTTTCCCCAAAATGTGAGATGTGTAAGAACCAATGACATTATTAATGGCATCAAAGCACTATTTCTGTAGTTCATACGACATAAGTTGGCTATCTATTTTGTAAATGACTGTTATGGATCTTATTGAGAATGATTCTATGTTTAACTTTTAAACGTTTTTTGACCTTTTAATGTTTAATCAAAAAGTCAGAACTCTATCTTTCAGTGAAAGTGACAGACTTCTCTCTGGTGACATACACTCACCGGCCACTTTATTAGGTACCCCATGCTAGTAACGGGTTGGACCCCCTTTTGCCTTCAGAACTGCCTCAATTCTTCGTGGCATAGATTCAACAAGGTGCTGGAAGCATTCCTCAGGGAGTTTGGTCCATATTGACATGATGGCATCACACAGTTGCCGCAGATTTGTCGGCTGCACATCCATGATGCGAATCTCCCGTTCCACCACATCCCAAAGATGCTCTATTGGGTTGAGATCTGGTGACTGTGGAGGCCATTTTAGTACAGTGAACTCATTGTCATGTTCAAGAAACCAATTTGAAATGATTAGAGCTTTGTGACATGGTGGAAGTAGCCATCAGAGGATGGGTACATGGTGGCCATAAAGGGATGGACATGGTCAGAAACAATGCTCAGGTAGGCCGTGGCATTTAAACGATGCCCAATTGGCACTAAGGGGCCTAAAGTGTGCCAGGAAAACATCCCCCACACCATTACACCACCACCACCAGCCTGCACAGTGGTAACAAGGCATGATGGTTCCATGTTCTCATTCTGTTTACGCCAAATTCTGACTCTAACATCTGAATGTCTCAACAGAAATCGAGACTCATCAGACCAGGCAACATTTTTCCAGTCTTCAACTGTTCAATTTTGGTGAGCTCTTGCAAATTGTAGCCTCTTTTTCCTATTTGTAGTGGAGATGAGTGGTACCCGGTGGAGTCTTCTGCTGTTGTAGCCCATCCGCCTCAAGGTTGTGCGTGTTGTGGCTTCACAAATGCTTTGCTGCATACCTCGGTTGTAACGAGTGGTTATTTCAGTCACTGTTGCCCTTCTATCAGCTCGAACCAGTCTGGCCATTCTCCTCTGACCTCTGGCATCAACAAGGCATTTCCGCCCACAGAACTGCCGCTCACTGGATGTTTTTTCTTTTTCGGACCATTCTCTGTAAACCCTAGAGATGGTTGTGCGTGAAAATCCCAGTAGATTAGCAGTTTCTGAAATACTCAGACCAGCCCTTCTGGCACCAACAATCATGCCACGTTCAAAGTCACTCAAATCACCTTTCTTCCCCATACTGATGCTCGGTTTGAACTGCAGGAGATTGTCTTGACCATGTCTACATGCCTAAATGCACTGAGTTGCCGCCATGTGATTGGCTGCTTAGAAATTAAGTGTTAACGAGCAGTTGGACAGGTGTACCTAATAAAGTGGCCGGTGAGTGTATACCAGAATTCTCTAAACATTTAGTCCACTTAAACCCACCCCTCTACAATCAACTACAAATTCACATTCATTTTTGAATGCAAAGCCCAAATCTCAAAACCCCAAAAGTCCCCACCCTACACTTTGTCTTTTTCATTAATTTGTTAAACTCAGATGTACAAAACAGAAGAAAATATATATCGCTACTTCCATTTCATCTCCACTTTAAGCTATCATAGGACTTCAGAAGACTTGTAATATAGCACACAAGTCATATGGACTACTTTTATGATGCTTTTAGTCCTTGCTGAAGCTTGGTAGCCAGTGTCATTGTAAAAATAGCTTATGTAAAGTTTTTCAAAATATCTCCTTTGTGTTCCATGAAAAAAATATATAATTTAGATTTTGAATGATATGAGGATGAGAAAATATTCTAAACTATACTTTTAAGGTGATGCATGCACCCAAATTCATTATAAATGAAAGTGATTATGAAGTCCACCAGTCACTAGCTCTATTTTGTTTACTTTACACTCTCATTTCCTCTTTCTTAGACCTTAAGCTCTGTTCTACGAAGAGCTTCCTTAATAACCCCTAATAAAAATAGAATAGCAGAAGAAATGACTTTGAACCTTGCAAGGAGGGGGGGAGAACATGATTTTGGTGTCTGGCTGAAGTGGGAGGGGCTCCGGTTGATTGACAGGCACTTGGGCCTCTGAGGATGGAGCCTGAAACAGGGATGTCGATGAGTGAAATACTGATCTCACAGATGTGACGAGATCACTTCATTTGATGTACTCTTACCTCCTCCTCTTTAGGATAAGGACGTTTGACTCCTCTGGGTTGAGTTGAGTCAGGTGGTACATCCATCGTCCAGTATGACCCCTAAAACAGGTGATTATTTGAACTTCAGTATTAGTATTTGAGAGTCCTAAAATTGTTTAAAAAAGTCATTAGCATGGCAATAACCTCAGATATTAATGAACAAAATAATAAAATATTTGATTACATCACCTTCCCAGGGTCGCTCTGTGGTCGAGGAACTTTCCGGAAACATTTGTTGAGAGACAAATTGTGCCGAATTGAGTTCTAGGAGAAGAAAACAGATATTTGTCTATATGTATCTGTATTTTACATACAGCTGAACAAAATGCAGACTTGGAGTGCATAATAGACTATATCAGATATATATATCAGTGTTTATATGAGTAATTTCCTAAAGTCTGTTTTTAAACAGATAATCAGCACCGTTTGACAGTAAAGAGCATCATATTTAATTTAGCTTTACTTCTTGTGAAGAAATTGCAACACCTTTCCTTCATGACTACACATCACTACACACCTACAAACTGTCATTTCCCATTGACTGCAAATCTGTAACAAATCTGTGATGAATCATATAGCCTACACGTTTTATGTACGCAATAATGAAATGCAGTCTGTTTGACACCTCAGTAAAAAGCAGAAGTTGTATTTTAACAGTAGGATATGATGCAAATCCAGAGCTCCCTGGACTATTGAAGTCTATGTCTATCAAAAGAGAAATTAGGCACTGGACAGAAGAAACCTGATGTTTACAAACACAAACTGGTTAAGTAATGCTGATGACATGACTTGCTCCATGGACTCAGTAAGATGTGAATCTGAACATCTATCAAAGTCAATGGTCCTTCCAGACTTTTTTTTAAAAAAAAAAATAGTTTTATTGATATATTGAATTAGTTTTTATTTTTATATTTTTAGTTGTCATGTTAATTTTAGTGTATTATTTAGTAATTTTGTGCTTTTGTCATTTTATCATTATTATTATTAATATTGCTATTTAGGTTTCATTTAATTTGATTTCATTTTAAGTTATGCATTATTATTAATACCGTAGTCGAGTTAATAATTTTAGTGCTTAATCTTAAACTTGTTTCAGTTTATTGCCAAGGCAACATTTCTAATTTTCATTTAGTTTTTTTTTCCAAATAATATTTATATTCTATTCTATTTCAGCTTTTTTAACAACCCTGCTTCAAGACCCCCCCCCCAAACAACAACAACAACAAACAACAACACAGTGCTGTATGATAGAAAATTATAAAAAATTGTTAAGTTTGAAAGGTGAAAATCTACAAAGAACTTCTTTTAGTTAACGAGTCAATGAGATATAAGAGTGGTCTCAATTTAACGGAAAATGTTTTAGTGTAACCATCAAGTATAAAGTAATCCCCCCCCCCCATGTATGAATTACTAATTCATAAATATTATGTTGTTTTTTAGGTGTCCCACCACATTACATTTTACAACCTAAACTAACCTAGCCTTGTCAAATTAACAGCTCAAAAGATCAAATTATCAGATTGTTTTTTAATTCTAAGAAATAATAATAAATTGTTATGCCAAAATACTTAATGCTTTTTTTTCTTTTCAAGAGTTTCATTCTTTCAATGAGGCTTTTTTTCAGTCTTCATATCAGGAAAATTGAATCACCCTGACATGTTTATCTTTATGCCACTGACCCTAAAATACCAAAGAAAAGTGCTTTTAGCTACATTTATATTTCTCAAGTTTCTTTCCAGACTTGTTTATCAAATCAATAATGGTGTAAAGCCAAGTCCCTGCTCGAGCACAACTGCATTCATAACTACCGGTAGTCTCATTGCACTATTTAGCACAAGGAAGTGGTCATGTAGTGGTCTGGACTTTACCTTCCATCCTCTTCCTGCTTTGCTGTAATAAGGAAATGTATTACTGATCCATGTGTAAATATCATTCAAACTCAGCTTCATTTCAGGAGTGGAACTTATTGCCATGGCTATCAGAGTGGCGTAGCTGTGGGGGGGCTTCACTTTAGAATTAGATCCGGGGGACAGTGTAGGTATGGGAGGGATGTCCTTCTCTCTTCCTCGTTCTTTTTTCCGTTCCACTCTTTCTTTCCCTGATCGCAAGGTGCTGATTCCCAGCTGAGGAAGCCAGTCAATGCTGGTTAAACTAGAGTCCAGTTCAGAAGCCATGCTTAAGGGGATGTCTGAGAAAACAAAACATTATGTAATACTGTGTGTTATCTCATGCATTCTAGCTAAGCTGTGTAACCAAGTCAATCATGTCGTATGCAGTTGTAAGGCAATGTGATTTAAAAGTATGCTGTAATAATCTAAATCTTATTAAAAACTCATAAGTATATGGTTTGAAAAACAGATAGTCATATCATTAGTTACTGCACACTTGATTAATCAAAGGAAATGTTAGATACACTTATAGATCTATTTATTTCGAATATAGCATTCTAAGAGAAATGTTTGTATACGTATACTAGTTGAGTGAAGACATACCTCAATCCTGTCAAAAGGCCACCGACTTCACCCTGTAAATTTTTAATGCTGTCATCTGTTGCACAGAGGCAGATGAAGGATCTCAACATACATTTATTTGTCCTTCTACTCTCTTCTATGTTTATCGCTGCATTCATTAGCTGCCTGAAGCGTCTAAGTTAACACATTTTGTTTGAAATTTGAGTTTGGGAGAAGAAAAAAAAACTGTCGGAAAAAGTTCTTCCCTTTCTTTCTCTTTCCCCTCCCTTTCTGCCTGTGTTTAACGTCACACACTCCACACTCCACCCTCCATTTTGACATTTGAGAACTCAGTGTGTTTCTCCTCCTCTTTTTCGTTCTCTCCTCCTCCTTTCATGGCTGCACTTACAGTTTACTGGTGAGTAAGTTCCTGTTTCACTGCTGAAATAGGAGAGGAGTCGAGCTACTGGCGGGAACCCACTGTAATAATTTCCATTGAGATTTTCTAGGTCCTATGACACAGTGATCTTTGCATCCTGGTGGATTTCACACTTGACACACATTTCATAGTGCAATGAGACAAAAACAAACAAACATAGGTATTAGACACATATTAACACCATATGCATAATCAAGAGGCGCACATAAAATACTTTATTCTTATATTATAGTAATACATGTACGGAATATAATCATTTGGCAAAATTTTACAATAACCATGTCACTTTACATGCATATTTATAAATTAAAATGAACCTAGACCAGTCAATGCGGTAACACTTTATAATAAGGTTCCATTTGCTATTAGTTAACATGAACTAACAATGAAAAATACTTCTAAAGCATTTTGTAATCTTAGTTAATGTTAATATTAGAATGTACAAACTGATCAAAAGTTATTTCTGTTCATATCATTAAATGGACTTGAGCTAACATGAACTAACAATGAACAGCTGTATTTTTATTAACTAATGCTGACTAAGATTAATAAATACTGTAATGAATGTATTGCTCATTGTTAGTTAATACATTAACAAACATTAGACAGTGAGATCTTACTGTAAATGTTAACATAAATGCTGGAAAAATGCTCATTGTTAGTTTATGATACCTAATGCATTAACTCGTTTTAACATGCAGAACCTTATTTAAGTGTTGACATTAACTCTTACTATTCTTCTGACAGAATTTTTGAATTTTCTGCGTTTCTATGAAAGTAGATATTATTTGAATATGAAATTGCTTAAAAATCACATGAGTCCAACAGGTTCAGAGGGCAGTTTGTGTTGATTTTTAATAATTTATGTAATTATGTCTGCAGGGTGTGGTGTGCGACTGGCCCTATAGAGAGCTGAAGAAGGACAGCAGGCCTGTATCAGGGGAGGGGTGAGCCAAGAGCTTCTGGATCTGTGTGCGAAAAATGAAGGAGGACAGGTCAGAACATGAATGCAAACCTAATAAACCACAAAATCCCATCCACCTCAGCGCCACCTCATCATGCTGTCATTCAGACACAAACAAACCTAAAATTACAACCAGGGATGAAAATAAAAAACTTTTGCAGTATTCTTACTAGGACTAGATGTTTGAATCCTTTGTAATTCAGCAAGCGCTGTTGTTGGAGATGTCCTCTTGGGTGGGGTTGGATTGGGGGATGACTGCCTCCACACACCATCAGTTGTGCACGACAGCCTCATTGGGTGTTTCAGCCTTTTATCACAATACACCCTCACCCGAGGCTGGCCCACCACAGGCTGATCAGACCTGGGTGTGTTTCGCACTGGAGGCTCCATGAGGTCACTTTGCAGCCCATACAGTCTCCTTCCGCTTCAGCCACAGCCAGTGACTGCTTCTTTCGGCAGCAATTGCAAGGTCTTTGATGGTCTTCCGCTGAGCCAGTCCTCCGATTCCAAGCTCTAGTAGCCTTGTGGTGGAACTAGCTAAGCCCCTGCAGCCCACTTCCACTGGACGCACGTTTACCTTCCAGCCCCGTTCCTCTGCTTCGGCAGCCAAATCTGCGTATCGCAACCTTTTCATTTCAACTGCCTCATCGATGGCTTCCTCCCACAGGACTGTCAGTTCCACTATAAAGACATGTCGACAGGATTTGGACCAAAGGACCAGGTCTGGGCTGCAATTTCGGGTGGGAAGGTGAGCCTCTGACTTAAGTCTACCCGCATTTCCCAGACCTGGGCTGTGTTCAGTGGGCATGAGTCTGAAGGTGATCGATTGGTCGACCGGTTCTCCCCTTCCCGGACGAAGGATGTTGGTTGCCGGAAGGTAGTCTGGGCTTCCAGGGGCATGGCGTTGACGTTACCCTCTTACTCTCCAGTGTAGCAGCCAGGCACTTCAGCACTTGGTTGTGACGCCAGGTGTATCTGCCTTGCGTAAGGCTGGTCTTACAGCCCACCAGGATGTGTTTCAGGGTTGCTGGGGCAAGACACTGGAGGCAGGCTGGATCCTCTCCAAACCAGACATGTAGGTTGGTTGGAGAGGGCAGGACATCATATGTGGCTCTGATGGTAAAGCTCAGCATATTGGACTCCATGTTCCACAGCTTGCTCCAAGTGATTTTCCTCTTCTCCACACCTTTCCACCTCATCCAGCGGCCTTGCTTGGCTTGGGACACCGCTCTGGCACACCTGTCCACTTTCTCCTGGTGGCGCACCTCCTCAAACACCAGGCGCCGGCGTTCAGCTGGAGTAGCCTTCTGCCATGTGGGTGTTGTTGCTCCCAACCCTAGGCCCCCTCTGCCTTGTTGGACTTGGCCCACTATGTCCCTGTGTCTCAGAGCTGACTTTGCCTGTGCCACTGCTACACCTGGCCTCCACCTCCTCCCTGTGGCTACGGCAGGAGCAGCCCCTCTGACGATTCTGTGAGGGTCATTTCGAGTCTTGTTTTAGAGAGTATTTGTACTCCTCCACCAGGCTTGAGATTAACAGAGGGCTCCATTGCCGTACAGGCCTATGCTGCTGAGGTATCTAGGTAGTCCAAGCCACTTTCTCACCTGCACATTCACCAATCGCTCCAACCGATTGGTGTGGGATAGGGTGACCTCATAGATGGAAAATGGCCACATGAGGTGGGGCAGCAGTCCAAACTGAAGCCACCAGAGCTTCAGCTTCCCTGGGAGAGCAGTGCTGTCGATCTGCTTCAGGCCACTGATGGTATCCTGCTTGAGTTGTTCCACCTGTTCGGCGTCTTTGAGATCTGTGTTGTACCACCGACCAAATCTTTTGATGGGCTTCTCCAGGATAGTTGGTATCGGCTCGTCATTGACGTGGAACCTCTCATTTACGATCTGGCCCTTGACAATGGAGATACTGCGGGATTTGCTGGGTTTAATCTCCATTCGTGCCCATCTGATGTTTCCCTGGAGTTTGTACTGCAGGCGTTTGGTGCATGCGTTAGTCATTGTTATGGTCGTCATGTCATCCATATACGCCCTGATTGGAGGAAGCCGCAGCCCGCTCTTCAGACGTTCCCCTCCAACCACCCATCGGGATGCCCGAATTATTAACTCCATTGCCATGGTGAAGGCCAGAGGGGAGATGGTGCAACCAGCCATTATGCCTATCTCCAGGTGCTGCCATGCGGTTGTACTAGACTGAGTTGTAACGCAGAACTGGAGGTCCTGGAAATAGGCTTTGACCAGCCTTGTGATGCCCTCTGAGACTTGGAAGAAGTTGAAGGCTGCCCACAGCACCTCATGAGGCACTGACCCGAATGCATTGGCAAGGTCTGAGAAACCACTTATCCCTGCCTTCTGAACTGAGGTGTTAACATAGTTGTTCTTTTGCAGGAATGCTGAGACTCTTTGGGCCACAACACTGAAGAATTTTTTTCCTTCCACATTCAGTAAGCTGATCTGGCAGAATTGGTGGATGGTTGAGGAGTTCTTCTCTTTGGGAATCAGGATCCCTCCTGCCCTTCGCCATGCCTTAGGTATGATGCCTTTTTCCCAGGTCACATTCATTAGCTTCCAGAGGACCTTCAAGACACCTGGTGTGTTCTTATAGAGCCTATATGGAACACCGTTGGGCCCAGGGGCTGATGCTGTTCTTGCCCGCTTTACTGTGTTCTCAACTTCGCTCCATGTTGGGGGTCTTGTGTCCAACTGGTTCTCAGGTGGTTGGATTGGTGGCATGTCATTGGGGATGGTGGCTGGCACATGCCTCTGATTGTCGGAGTAGGTCCTCCTCAGGTGCTCCTCCAGTTCCCTCACAGGTACTTTGAGAGTCCCGGTTTTCTCCTTGACAAAGAGGTCTTTGGCGAACTTGTAGGGATCTCTATAGAAGGCAGTCCTTGTTCGCTCTTTCTTCTCACGTTGCTTTCTCAAGCATTCTGCTCTTCGCAGCGTTGCAAGGTGCTGCTTGCGGTCACCCTGTAACACCTCAATTCCTTCCCTTTCCACTTCTGTGGCCTTCTTCCACTGTCTTCTCAGGCATCTTCTCTCTTTCACAAGTTGCTCAATCTCTTGCTGCCTCCTGGACTTAAGATGGGCTGAAGGTTCCTTCTGAGTACTGTGGTCCTTGTGTTTCACTCCGAATCTCTCTGTGCCGTAGCTGTGGATGATCTCTCCTATCTTCTCCAATTTTCTTTCGACACCCCCTTTCAGACCTTCTAGGACAGGAGTCACCAACCCGTCGATCGCGATCGACAAGTCGATCTTGGAAGCATTTTAAGTCGATCGCGAAGAGTTTTCAAAATCAGAGAAAAAACACCAATATTTGTATTCATTATTATTTATTAATTAAAAATGCACCATGTGTGAGCCTACTGTGTGTAGTAAAACGTGTCTAGGGGATGCAGAGGCGCGCGCGCCGTTACAATGACGTCATTTTTGGCTCATGCGGACGCGTCGAGTATAAACAAGGCTTCACGCTTTAACCAGCTCAGCCACTTCACACTACGCTCACATCAAGCTCTTCAAGCTAACGATACGCAAGCTAACGAAACGATGGCACAACGGTGAGGGAGTAGGCTATTGGTAGTTTGAAATCTGCAGGGGTTTTCCAGCATAGACAATTATGAGGCGGCCGCCTCCGTCAAATTTATAGTTAAAGGAGTCATAATGTAGTATTAACTTTGATACCCACGCTCTATTATAGTCATTTCATGCCCTTCTAAAAAAGAAAAATTGGAAAAAAATAAACACAGAGCTCGTTTGACCCTTATTTCTGAATGCATTATTGTCTCGCGAGATCTGATGCGAGGTTTTGGCTCTCGTGGACGGTCATTTTAATAATGCAAATGAGGGGCGCGTTGATTGGTGGCAGGAAGGAGGGGGCTTGACACCGCAGGTAACTTCAGCATATCATTCC